ACATGATGTAATAACGTAAAATCAAGGGCCCAATGAAAAAAAAAAAAAAAAAAAAAAACGGCATTCCCCTATAAGTGAGCTGATCTGTGAATAATATCAGTAATTCAGTATTTTCTATTCAGAGGGAATCCATACTGTAGAAATGATATTTACAGTCGTGTTGGCTGCTGTTCTCTGAGAACCTAAACAGCCCAAAAAGAATTAAAAAAAAAATAAAAAAAATTTCCAAAAACACATTTTAGCAGGTCAAAGAAAGTGCCTAAAACGACCTTTCAAGCAGCTGGTATTACCTGAATGAAATACTGGATGTCTATCAGGCGACAGCAGGCCAGGGCTGACTGAGGAAGAGGAGGGACGATGATCTGCTCCCTCCACTCTGCGTGTTTTCCGGCCTTCACTCCGGCTCCCTCCACCTCTGCAATGGTCCGCAGGTCGAAGACCGGCCGCTTGGTCCTGTAGGTCACTTTCTAGAGAATAAAGAACACTTTAATACGAATCTGGATATAAACAACAATAGATCTAAAAGGAAACTAAAAGTTTTATTCACTGGTTATGCTCATTACACTAATGTTTGATTTCTATTCAGATAAAAACAAAGATGCTGCAGTCAAGATGATGGAAATTATTTAGGACAAACTTACCTGCATGAGACTCGCCAGCACGTAGCCAGTGTCTTTCCCGGACTTATTGTGGATCTCTGTGGATAATTTGATGACCTGACCAGGGATGTAGCCCCTCAGGTCGCTGCGGGTTTTAAGCATCAGGGTCCCCGTCCTCACCAGGAGGTAGCTAAACTTCTTGGTTGTTACTGCACAACTCTGTTGCTGTAGGAATCAATTTACAGTGTAAATATTTAGATTATTATTTTTTTTATTAATACATAAATATAGTAGGACGTCTTTTATTAACAGGACATTTCTTGGCCCGACTGAAAAAAAACATTTTTAGACCAATATCTGTGCTTAGATGTTTTTCCTTTCTTTGACAGAATCACAGCAAAACCTGCTGCTGCTATTAATACTGTTAATGCAGTTTGTTTAGAGTTTAAATCTGTGCCCTTAGTCTCAGTTTCTATGATTTAGTATTTCTGCTTGCTGTAAAAATGCATCAACAGAACTATTGCTGCCATTTATTTTTATATATATTTTATATTTTTTTCCTTCCATAGAAAGTATGCTGGCCCAGATTTTCTGTGTTCAGATCAGTGACCTAGTTCACTTACTATGTCAATATTTCTATTTTTCAAAGGTAAAAATATCAACCCATCATTTTTGTTTTTGTCCCATAGAAAGTACCCCTGCCCAGTCCTTCTGGGTTTAGATTTGACTCGTCTTTAAGGCATTACTGACAAAGTTGTTGCTACTTAAATACAGTTTATACTATTTATACTGTATTTAATTAGTTTCACTTGCTTATAAAAAGTACCACTGGCTCAGTGATTCTGTGTTAAACACTGCCTCTTTTCTGAAGTGAGTCTTTCCCGAGAATTAGGCCACAACTTACTTTGTGAACTTTTATTTGCATCAAAGTACTCCTAGCATAGATCTCTGTATTTACATGTGTTGTAACCTTGTGTGCTGTTTGTAAACACTTTCTGTAAAAAGTGCTACAGTTCCAGATTTTCGTTTCTGTCTTTGCTGTAAACGGTCATTGACAAAGATTATTTTAATGTTGTCTGCTTGAGTTTCTCGTTTCTTTTCAAAAATATTTCTCATTCAAAGTTTGAGTGTTTAGCATTTCATTTTGACTTGATGGACTCATTAACTATGTATATTCTTTGCTCTTTTCCATAGAAAGTACACTCAGCTCAGAGATAGTGTACCAAAAGCATGAAAAAAGTGGGTATCTCTGTGCTCAAGGTAAAGCATGCTTACTGTTATAGGTGTGATTTAATAGGATTTTAACCCTTTTTTTTCCTGTAAAGAGCCTTGAAAGGAAGTTTGTTGTTGATTTATGTTATTTATGTATTTATGTTATTTATGTTACTGTAACATCAGTGAGAAGTTACAGGTGTAACCTAAACCACTCACTTCGATGTCGGGAACCTCGTTGAGGTTGAGCATGTTGAGAATGTAGAAGGGCCTCTGAGCTTTGTAGTCTTTGGAGAAGCGGGGAGTGTCGATGGCCGCTCTCACGCAATAAACCACCTTCCCATAGGGTCCTTCGAACGACGTGGGGATGGCGGCTGAAATAGTGAATATGTAGAACGGAAATGGTTAGGTTTGTCTTTTCCCATCATAAAGAGATTTTAATATCATTTAGAGCATTTAAAGGCTTCTAATTGAATCAGTCGGTCAGTAAGACATGTAGATGTGTAAAATACAGGAGATAAAATGTTCAACCGTCTTCTTTCCTTTGCGATTTTCATAATAATTCATTCATCCTGTCCGCTGAACTGCTGCTAGTTTTACTCACATGCCTGGAAGATGTCTAGTGCTACTACCACAGATCACCTTCAACTCGTTGCCCATATATTTGGATATAACCTAACAGAATACCTTTGGAACAGCTCCAAATGACACACAACTAATATGGGTGAGTAGAACATGATGTAATAACATAAAATCAAGGGGCCAATGTAAAAAAAAAAAAAAAAAACGGTGTTCCCCTTTAAGTTTCAAGAAAACAAAAACAAAAAAAATGAAATTGATAGACCATACTTTTTACAACTCTTCTTCATTAAATGCCATCTGGGAATCAAGGTAAATTCATAGAGAAAAAAACCTACCTACAGCTGTCACTGAGAACAGCACAGGAAAATATGAGCATTGTTTTGCTGTTAAAGGTTAGCAGTATCTGAGTGACTTCAGGAATTTCTTCAGCCCTCTGGAAAATTCAGTGCAAATCATCTGCCCTCTCTGTGTTGATATTAGTCTAAAACTGTACATTATGTAATAAAATATCTTCTAATGTCCTGATTTGGAAGATCTTCATCCCATAGTTCATTGGTTCTGTCTTACTAAACCATAGTTCAATAGTTTAGTAAGACAGAAGGAAACAGGTTAATCCACCAGCAGGGGGCAGCCTGAGTCCTTGTGATCTGGACCCTTACTGTATGTCTACATGGTGGTTAACACAATCAGTGACACGGCGGGATAAAGGCTAAAAATGACGAGCTGGAGCCCACCTATGCAGAAGAAAGCTAAAATCACTGGACAGACAGGTGGTGAGCACACAACGGTTTTGTGCTTTAACTCCAGCAGCATTAAATGTGCATTTGTGAGAAACTTTCTTGTTGAATTAGGATGGAGAGTCATGCTGAGAAGATTTAAAAGCAAAGTTTCTCCACCCAGAACTTTTAAACATTAACTAACTGTTACCCTTCCACATTTATCTAATGTGTGACTAATCGGCGAAGTACAGGAAGGTCTCTGGGCCGAACACTTTGTAAATTTACAGAGGTTGTCACCTGCATATCTTTACTTTTAACTGACGTCAGCTGTTTGATTGATAAAGAAGTTCTATGGGAAAACATTTACGGGAACAGAGGGCACGCCTTGGACAGGCAAGACTTACCTGGAAGGACGAACTGGAAACCGAAACTGTGCTCACCCGGGGCGAGGGTTCCTGTAAATGAAAATAGTTTATGAGTAACAAACCAGATGTGAAATGAAAATAAAAATAACATCACAGTTCTTACACATTTTTATGGAAGAATATCAGCCCTTTGGAGCCTGAACTGTCACTATGTATGTTTATTCATACATTTATCCCGGGATTGACCTGGGATTTGGGAGATTAGAACCTACAAAGAGAGAAATGAGAGGACGGAGGAATGGAGGTAGAACACAAGGGCAGAAAAAATGGATGGAAAGGCTTCAAGAAAGAAGAAAGGAAGCAAGGAAGGATACAAAGAAGCAACAGCAGAAGTGTATGAGTACAAAGCATTTAGGATGTGGGATAGGAAAAAAACAAGGAGTCTACAGACACCTACGTTTCTGAAAAGCCAAAAAAGTGGGTGTTAAAACCGTTGCCTCATTATAAAATGTCACTGTTGTGACTTTAAAAGATCAATTTCCTATTTTCCTAAAAAATCTGCTTTCCATGTATGAAGGTCTAACCCCCAGATTGCACTGCGTCTGCTCTGGAAGGGCTGGACAATTTATTGCATCTGAGGAATAATCACAATTTTCCAAACAATTTTAGAATCACACAGGCACTCAGTGTTGGTCACTACACTACTGGTCATTCCATTTAACAGGAGTTGGACACAGACTTTCTCACTTCAGCCCTTTAAATGGCAGTAACACACTTGAAGTGGGTTTGTCGCCATGCAGAAGGAACGAGTTGCAGCTAGCATACAGATCTATGCAAGATTTGTATGCAGTAAGGTACAGTGACAGTGGGTCCTGGACAGTCTAAAGGTCATGAAACCAATAAAAGCCAAAAAAAAATCTATGTTAGCTTTTAGTGCAGATGAAGATAAAAATGTAATCATAACTGCAAGTCTGGTTATTATATATATATATATATATTCCATGGTTCGGTTCGGTTCACGGTTTCAGGTTTGGTTCGGTACATGTTGATTATTAGCTGTTAGCATAAACAAAACGTGTTGCACAATGCTTGCACACTGTTGCACTTTAATCCACAACTTTCTTTCCGCCGTCATCGTAGGTCACTCTAAATGCAAAGTGGTCCCATACAGCAGACCCATAAAGTGCTGCTGGCGCGTCTTCCAACTCCTGTTCTTTCCCACTCGCCAT